GGGGGGCGGGGGGGGGCGGTTCCTTAGAATCGAGATATTTTCGCAGATGGGGGTCCCCGCCTGGCCTTATTTGCGTCCTATCTACGGTGACAGAATTGTTGCAGCAGTTTTGTTCTGTTGGACTCGCCGAAGATCGTGGGTAGGAGATTGTTATCATTGCCAAAATCCAAAAAGAAAGAAAGAGAACAAAAAAAATAAATCATTTTTCCCCTTGATATTCGGATATCCGCCTAGAAGTAGGATCGCTAATCGGAAAAGGAGGAAAATATATAATTAAGAAAAAAGAAAAAAAAAGGAGGAAAAGAAAAAGAGGATCGATGATCATTCTTACCGCCGCGGTGACGAAGGAACTAACGACGCCCATTTCTGTTTTCTTTTTTCTTGAGCATGTTTTTTTCCCTCTTTTCCTCACCTTTATTTCCCTGCTCTTTTTTATTTTTGTGAAGGTCAAGTCCCCAACGGTATTCTATATCTTATTCAGGTGATCTGTTGCGGATTCGAACTCACGATCATCTCTCTTTTTTTTTTTTTTTTTTTTTGCACTCCATTTGCGTACCGGATGGGGTTTCACGGCGATGGTTCCTTTTCCTTTTCTTCATCGGACAAGGCTTTGTCCGTTGACAAAAATTTTACTCTAATCTAATTTCTTCGTCTGATCCTATCAGAGTGTGAATTTATGATCATCGTTTTGTGGAAAGTATCGTCCATTCAGGCGCTTGGAATGGGTACGGCGATGGGGGCTTCGCCGGGTACGCTAGGTGCTCGGGGATATTTTTTTTACCAATTCCGTTTTTTTTTTCTTTCGGGAAACTACGCGGGAGTCCCGAAAACAGTTTGAATATACACTTCGGGCAAAAAACAGTTTGAAATTGCACTTCGGAGCCAAGTCCCATTTGCAGCGTTGAGTTTCCCCAACGCCTGAATCTGGACGCTTTTGTGGAGATGTGTAGAAATCGCGTCGATTTTTTTTTATCTTTTTTTTGGCCCGATGGACCACGGATCAGATATTAAAATGATCAGAACAGATACTACACTTGATCTTAGCCAAAAGGCCGAGAAAGGTATATCGCGTAGACGCACATAGTCACAAACACATCCAGATTCAGGCGTTGAGGAAACTCGACGCTGCTAGAGGGACTTGGCCCCGGGCAAGGTATATACAAGCTACCTTTCCGGTCAAGGTATACGCTTACGTGAGGGTGTGCAGAAAGTCGCAAGAACAGGCCGGACACACTTTTGGACCTTAGCATCGTCCAAAAGGGTCGTGTGGATCATATGGTATGAAGGAGGTTTGGGCGAACACGCCCCGGAAACGACATGTGGAACGATAACCAAAAAAAACTGATTTTTTTTTTTTTTTTTTTTTTTTTTTTGTCTGAACACTGTTTTTTTTACTGTACTGAAGTTACCCCTTTTTTTTGTTTCTCTCCTTTGAAAAGTTATAGCCCCTTTTATTAAAAAAAAAAGAAAAAGTTGTAGCCCCTAAAGTTATTCTATCCGTCGGATTTGCCATGGATTTGCCATCGTAGAGTTCCAATTCACGACCTGTCAACCTGTCCGTCCTTTCCATCAGGAGGAGTTCGATGCGAGTACGATACCGCCAGATGGTCTCAGTCAACGGCTTGTTTTCTTCTTCTTCTTGTTCTTTTTTTTTTTTTTTTTTTTTTTTTTTTTCCTCGTCGGCTGGTTTTCGTGCGCTGTCTATGAACGACATCTTTATCATCTCTCCCGTGCAGCAATTCCGCAAGCAAGCAAGCAGGCGGTTTTTTTTTTTGTCCTTTCCTTTTTTTCCCCGTTTTTTGGAGTTAAATAATTATCCCGGCATGATTTCGCGGACGATACCCGCGCGCAATGTTCGGGATGAAGGAGATGATGCCCCTCCCCTAGCGTTGTAGGGTAGGCCGGTACGCAGGTCCTCTCCTCCTCCTCCTCCTCTGCCTCCAGCGCCGAGGTCCCACTAGAAAAAAGGGATTGGATTGGGCCCCTGAATCTGGATGTGTTTTATGCAGAGATGCAGAAAAGCAGTTCAATCTCGATTTGCTGCACATCTCCCTAACCTCGTCCAGATTCAGGCATTCGATCCGACTCTCTTTGCTAGTGGGACCACGCCCCAGCTCGTCCTCGAAGAGCGCGTTTGGTCGGCTGATGTTTGCCACTGGGTCTCATCTCCACTACTCTAGACATGCAGAAAGACCAAAAATGATGGCCGTGAATCTTTCCATGTTCTACCGGAAGATTCACTCTCGTTTTGCTCCTGTCGAGAGCAGTGGAGCGAGGCAGCCCATTGCCTTCTTTCTTAGGGGACAGAAGAGGAAGGGGGGGATTAGAAACAAAATGTGCACGGGAGAGTATGGCTGCCCTAGGGGGATGTAACGCGTGGACCCGCCGCGTGCGGTGGGTGCCCATGATGAGGCCTTGTAATCCCAATTTCTTGTCGGGAACTCGTTTTTGTTCCGTGAAAAGCGCACACGAAGATTTTTTTGCCGGCAAGCGCCCTCTCTGCCTGCGTCCCCGGTGGATGGGATACCAACGCAGACCGAAATTTTATGGTTCCCGACGCAGACCGAAATTTTATGGTTCCCGCCGTCTTTCCTCCCCTTCCGCCCCCCCCCCCCCCCCCCCCCCCCCCCCCCCCCCCCCCCCCCCCCCTCCCTCTACCCCGCCAAAGGGCGACAGCCTTGAGATATCATCATCGACACTGACCGGCCCAAGGCAATGTATATTGATTCCATCCATCTGATTTGCAGCAGGATTCGAACTTCGGTCCGCTGATCAACAGTAGCACAGGTGCGCCATTCTGCCGACCTGGGGAACAAGTGCCTCGCGTTTTTTTGTTTTTTTTTTTAATACGGTAAGCTTTATTCTTCTCTCGATCTATATCTATGTACGCGTCTTTGTCATCGATCTCATCCTCTCACTAGTCTATGCATGTATGGTACGGGGATCAACAAACAACCGGGTGCAAGGTCCCACTTGCACGGAATAAGAGATTAGGGCCGTTGATCGTTGCTCTCTACGGTCAAAATCGCTTGACTCGTGTAAGTGGGACCTAGCCCCGGGATCTGTCCCCACCAGCGACTGGCCAGAGTGCCCGGCACTAGCACTGCCTGTTTCCCCCCCCATCGGCAATGCCTGCCTACCCCGCATCACCGTGATGAGGGGCTGGTGAAGTGCTTCCCTCTTTTGCTGAAGGCAGACTTGAGCAAGTCGTTTTCTTGTTTCCCTTTTTTTTTGATCTGAAGGCAGACTTGCAAGGCATTTTTTTGATCTGAAGGAAGACTTGAGCAAGTCGTTTTCTTTTTTCCCTTTTTTTTTAATCTCAATTCAAAGGCACTATCAGGGTGTGGAGAAAGTCTTCGCTAAGGCGTGGAAGCATGTGCTATCTTCCTCTTTTTCTTCTCCTGTTGCGTGGGGACTCGATCCTTCTTCCTCGTCGTCGTCTTCTCTCCTTTTTCTTTCTTGTTTTTCAAGTTTTTTGGCCCATTCCCTCAGCTGCGTAGTGCCACTGCCTGAATCTGGACGTGTTTTACAAAAAGTATTCAGAAATGCAAGATCAATGGCGATTTTCTGCAGACCTCCCCTAAACACGTCCAGATTTGGGCGTGAAATTCAATCCTCTTTGCCAGTGGGACCTCGCCTCAGGAGACCCCACTCATTCCACCCCTCGATATTCCCTGGCGCACCGAACCCCCACTCCCCTTCTATACTTCCCACCCCCCCTCCCCCGCCCCCTCCCCTCTCCCCCTCCAACCTCGTAATCCTTTTTCGGGATACGAAAGATTGGCCAACATATGTAGAAAGCAGACGCCGTGGTTTCGGCGTTAGAGCAGTTCAGGCTTGCTGACCGCACCAGGCGCTGTGATCGTCACTAGGTGGCCCGAACGTAGACGGAGATTTGGCCAGGTTCGTGCCGTATGCGCATTCGTGTAAGACCCCCTTGCCCTGTTACGCCCCGACTTTGAACGGAGACGCCAGTTTGGCCCTAGTGGGGGCGCACATGACTGGGCAGAACCACAACTTGGTGCTGACTGGGTCGCTCACAGAACCCCTTTTTGGCCCCAAATAGATCGCGTACGAGTCCATAGAAGCTCTAATTGGTCCGGACCTTGTCGCACACAGAACCCCAATTTGCGTCAAATGTGTGGCGCACGAGCCCACAGCTCCACAATTTGGCCCTAGATCGGTCGCACGGGCACAATCGATGCGCCAGTGGAACAATGGCCCGGGCGGTAAATTTCCGTGTCCGGCGCCGGCGGACTGTAATAGTGTTTTTTTTTCTTGTTTTTTTTTCTCTTTTTGTATATATCAGAAAATACTCCCCCTACCGTCTTCAGCCGAATAG